ACTGGCCCCCTTCGACATCTGAACTATCACCCTCCACCTAGACTGGGCAAATACTCCCAGTTGATGCTAGTCCTCCATCTGAAATGGAGGTCTAACGGGGAATACGTTATCTCGAAAGGCATAAAGCTTCCGGCCCCGACGGGCTGTCCCCATCCGTTTTTAAAGATGGAGATTCAACCTTGGTTTTGGATTTAACAAAACTCCTGGTCTCCTGGCGGAGTGAGATCTTTTGCTTTTGTTTTCGTCGGAACTACGGAATCCTCAGATAGCCCAAAGTTTTCGACAAACTTTGGACTCCGCCTTGAAAGCAAAGTTTGCTGTCGAATGCTTTGCACACTTAATCAGATCCCACTGCTGACGTATGCCACCACATCGCGGCGCTCTTAGCCCATTCTCTTAATGGATGCAAACAGCTGGGTCGCGCTGACAACGGTGAACTAGTTGAGGTGGCGATTTTACCAGCGATCGATGAATCGAAGTGTGGAGCAAATCAGAACTAAAGCGTGACCAGACTCCAAGCATATGATCCAGCGGGATCTGAAACTTTGTACTTGGCCGTGAGACCACAACAAAGTCCAGCACTTCTACCAGGAACTGCGGGGGAAATACATCTGGTTCAGTGCGGTAGTCAATGATTTTCAATTATTTCGTCAGTTTAGGCATCACCTGTCTTCGTCCCATCTCCATGGATTACCTTGGTCGGTGAGAAATTCTAAAGGAGAAGTTCACCGAGAGCGATCCTAAAACACGTAAGTGGGATACGAGGCTTTAGTGTATAGAATGATGATGTTAAGCTGGAAAATACAGAGAAAGAAAAGAACCCAATCCTATATCACCTTTGCCCCTAATTTAGCAATGTGGACACTTCATCTATCTCGTTACGCTGTTCTGGGATTTATAATTTATAACGGGAGAAAATCAAGTGAACTTCGCAAAGACTTACCAAACTATCGTTCCAAAATACGGTAGATAGGGATAATATATTAGTTGTTGGAAGCTGAGCGTGAGATGCCGGCGTGAGTTTGCGTAGCTGATGGTATTTCCCCTCGTCCGATTCTTCGTTGCGCAGATCAGGACCGAAGTTGGGCAGACGAAAAGTAACAAGAGTGCTACTGTTCTCAGATGGGCTTTTGTGGATCACAACGAGAATTGATGCGAGTTGAGAGGGCGCATCTCGAGTAGCTAAGTCCCATAAAACGTCACCAGGCAAAGTAATGTGATCCGCATTCAGATGCAATGCCCAAAGTGGTACCAGTTTGAAGTGAAAGGTAGTTAATCCCAACAACGCCAAAGTGATCGCAAGCAAGATAAGAAATAAGTGCTTCACACGAATAATTTTCAACAGTGTACAACATTCAAGAGCGATCATTTTCAATCCAGAAGACTGAACATCCGATGTATTGGTCTACCTTCGCTTTGAAATATCCTCAGTGGAAACCGGTTAGATCAATGTAATTCGACATATTTACGGATCAGGACTGGAAGCCTAAAATAAAAGTCGAAAGATCACAAATAACGCATAAATGAATTGTCAGTGGAAACGTTGAAATGCATAGTTTTTTTCTGTCGTTATGCAAGCTCCTTGCTATATTTTATACTCGTTTTTTGGCGATACAAAACCTTCGGTGGTACCGGAAACATGACTCCAGGACTAACATACATCGAGGATATTTCCAAATTCCTGGTTAGGGTTTTTATATCCTCACGCCAGGTCTTAGTTTGATCGCCCTTGACATTGTTCCTTCTGAAAGCCTCAGTACGGTAGGAAGTGGGTATCTAGGGTTGCGGCTGGTCACCCTTCCCTTGCACTTCGCAAAATGCTCCCATAAAACCAATCGTCCCAAATAGCCAAAAACCATGATTTGAAACCAACCAAGAGGCGTGTGAACTACACATCTTATCGGTTCAGGCAGTGGTCCCCTGCCCGTTTGGGCTTCTAGGTTTATGGGACACCTTGGACGTTTGACCCCGTCCAAAGGGCGTATTATCCAACGAACTGCACGTCGGCCCTAAAAGATTGCGGCTTTTACAGTGACCCGCAGGTCAGGCTTTGGTTAACCGAAAGCTCCGGTTGTGGATTCCTAGAGAAAAGTCACCTGCCTTGGCTTAGACAACCTGGCAGCATTCGGCCCACATGCTACTTTTGTGTTCTGCATCGTTCCCCCAATAGTGGCGACTCTTATATCTTTGATTTTCTATCTTCGACCATTGAACACTTGTTTGCAACCGACCCCAAACTGCCATGTTACCATCTTGGGAGATTTAAACGTTCACAATCAGGACTGGCTGATACATCGCTTTGGTCAACAACCTGAGCCAGCTAAATGACCT